AAAAAAAAAAAGTAATCAGTACACTATAAAATCCGAGTAGACCAAAAGTATGTATTTGCCTGATAAAACGCTCTGTATGTACTTGCAACAACTGAACTGATAGTCAAAAAGTACATAAGTTACGGTTCAGTAACGTCGAAAAAAAAGAAAAAAGACACTTTTTACCGCTTTTTACGTTACACAGTGATATTATATCGAGTTAATGGTTATACTTACAAGCAACCCATCAACTCGTAATCATTGGTATTACATGAAAATGTGTACGCAATAGTCCCCTTTTCACGCTCAAGATAATGGGTAATAATACACACATATAATGTACATGGCATTCAAAGGCGTGTTACATTTCACGAAATCGTCAAATATATATATACTGTATACGTACCGTTGAACGATAACGTTTTCATATTATATTAAGTATATCAGAGCAGCTCGAGTCGTTTGCTTTTACATTACGCGATCGCACCAAGTCGGTGAGTATAAAAATGATTGACCGATAAGTTGTAGGTACCGCTGCACACCGCTTACAATAATATTGTCCCGTTACACGTCCAGCGTATAATATATATCATACGCACAATTATCTCCTCCCCCCTCGACTATTTTTTGTGGTTGCGCTTTCGGTTTTTTCCTTCTTTGTCTCTGGGCGTCCGTATCTCTCGGACCGGCATTGTACGGTGTAGGTATATACGAGTCGTGGTCAGCAATTGCGCCATTTTTCTCCTTTCGATAAAATACTTGTACTATATTCGAGCGGTGAGACGAGGAAAAATCTTATTGTGCGCGTGTAGCAAAAAGAAGAGAAAAAAATCGAGAAGAGAAACGACAAAAAAACACACTCAAGAGATTGCTAATCCATAAAATGGATCTTTCGCTTCGCCGCGTCCTTGCAGTCGCATTGGCATATTATGTGTGTGTGTATACGTATAGGTGGCACGTGCGTTTTGACGCACGAGCGCAGTATACTTGCGTACACATGAGTTGTTGGACTGCCAGTTGCGGCGCTCGTGATTGAATTGATCGTGTACAGTAAAGTGTACATATCCAAGTTCGATCTCTTTCGAAGGATACCGGACGCGATCGCAATCAATCACATTTAATGCCGTCTCTTTCCTTTCTTTGTTCCCCGTGGGGCGGGTTTGTGTATAACGATGCTTTCGCACACGTGAAAACCAATTATCTGAGTTTTTTTCCTTTGGCGAAAATTTATCAATCATGTATTATATCCCATCGTACTCATGTATAAAACACGCGTGATTCGGAACAACGTGTCATCGAACTTTGCGAAAAATTCAGTCTGAAAAGCAACGCCGTCGCTCTTGAATCGCAAATATTATACCTTTCGCAATGCGCAATGCAATCCCTATAGTGAGTGCGTACAAAAACACGAGATTTTCCAATGCAACTGATGATATATTTTCGGCAATCTTGACGCTCGAGCGAGCGCGCGAAGCAGGCACGCACTGCCTGGATTTTGTATTATACTTCTCAATAAACTGCTCTACAGCCGCAGCAAGCGTTGCGTTAGGTATAATGGCTTTCAAAGGATTTACCACGCGCGGAATTGAGTTTCCGCGAGAAAGAGAGAGATGAGCGCCTCGACCTTCTTCTTTTCCTTTACTCCCCCGACAAATCGACAGATCGATTTGCCGCTGCTTGTGCTATCGTTCTCATCGCTGTATAAATATAAATACTCATATTATCCACGTGCGTGGAAAACGATACTGATGAAATCATAGTATCTCTCGAGCTACGTGGGCCGATTCCGTTGCAAGTGTCGGACGTGATTTCTCTGTGTTAGGCCGTTTTTTTCTCTTTTGTTCCAGTGCGCTGCAGCGCTTAGATCTACCGCGTATAGAAATTTAAACAATAATATGTATGAATTACGATTTACGGAAATACGTCTTGTCGACAAAGATCCTCGCAAAGATCTTAGAAATGGGAGGATGAACAATGTAATAGCCGGTCTCTCGCGCCCGTGAAAGATTAATCCAGCCAAACAGTTGATATAGTTGACATGATTATTCATTGTATTTCCTACAAATGCAAGTTAAGGCGAATTATTATTTTCTGACTATTATTATTATTATTATTATTATTATTATTATTATTATTATTATTATTATTATTAT